GACAGACAGACAGATAGATAGATAGACAGACAGACAGACAGACAGACAGACAGATAGATAGATAGACAGATAGACAGCCTCTGATGCTCCAGCCCCCGCCCCGCGGTGACGTCACTGTGTGACTATTGATCCGTTTTAACAGTGGTTTAGACGCGCTACACTGCCATTATTCTTTCCCCGCACCATGAGAACGAGAAGATGAGATGTTAAAAGGTAAGAATGGTGTTCCTCTGTTATTATGGGATGGTTAAGCATGTTGTCTGTGCGTCTGTTGCTCGGCTGGGCAGAAAGAAAGGCTTAAAAGATTCATTCACCTTGGAAAGGTTATAAGAAAACGGTGTAAGAATGACAGAAATAAGGTCTTGGTTTACATGGACATTTTAACAATAGCCTTCGGCTAACTGAATTAATGTAACGGTAATGAATGAGCCTGGTGCTTTTGTATTGTCTCTGCATATAACGTTAGTTAATAATAATTTATGATGCTTCTCATTTATATTTGAATCTCAGCTGCTGCCACATGATCGATGTCTTTGTTATTTTATATTTATTTCCCCGTCCATGACTCGTTATTGAATATCACTCGGGCCCATAGGAAGATAAGCGGAACAGTGAAAGAAATCGTTTATTAAAAAGACGTGAAGCTGATATAATAGTCTGTGTCTTGATTACTGTAAATGTTTACGTGAAGAAGACTAGGCCTGTCTGAGCCTCACCATCACTTAATGATGACAACATCTGATCTGCTATTATATCATAATGACTTCAGACGAATCACCCTTACATTAACCATGGTTTTATTGTAGTAAAAGTGTAGTAACCATGTTTTTTTGGCGCATTGATTACCATTTTAACCACAGTTTTACTACAAATACCATGGTTAAACTATGCTTAGTGTAGCAAAACCATGGTTATTTTGTGGTTACCATGGTTTAACTATAGTAACCATGTTTTTTGGGTTTAATTTGTAGTAAAACCATGGTTAATATTCGTAAGACACCCCTTACAAGAGCACTGACATTCTTCAAACCTTTTTTGAACAAATAATACGAGACAAAGACATATCCCCATTAATGTCCATATTAAAGTGGACTAGGCTATTGGGTGATGGGTTGGGCCCACTGCTGGGAAAGCCGCTTTAGCTGGTTTCTACTGTACCTGGTCCATGCTGGTCATTGTAGCTGGTAGACCAGTTTTGAGCTAATATCTTAAGATTATAAAATTCCATTATGGTCTATACACGACTACAGATTATAATGATTAAAATACTGAAACGTGTTCCCTCTCAGCTGCATGCAGGATAAAATGTGAAGGGTCAATTTTTTTGAAATTTAGATTTATACATCACCTAAAAGCTGAATAAATTAAGCTTTTCATTGATGTAGCTATGGTTTGTTAGGATTGGACAATATTTGGCCGAGATACAACTATTTGAAAATCTGGAATCTTGAGGGTGCAAAAGATATTTTTGATGAAATCCGAGAGCTCTCAGACCCTCCCATAGACAGCAACGCAACTGAAATGTTCCCAGACCCAGAAACGTAGTAAGGATGAAATAGTCCATGTGATATCAGTGGTTCAACCATACTTTTATGAAGCTATGAGAATACTTTTTGTGCGCAAAGAAAACAAAAATAACTTTATTCTTTATTCAACAACTCTTCTCCTCCAAATCCCGTCTTCTGCCATTATCGAGAGAACCACGAAGCTCTCGGATTTCATCAAAAATATATTAATTTGTGTTCTGATGATGAACGAAGGTCTTACGGGTTTGGAACAACATGAGGGTGAGTAATTAATGACAGAATTTTTGGGTGAACTATCCCTTTAAAATCCTAATGATTTTTGGCATAAAAGAAGAATCGATCATTTTGACCCATACAATGTATTGTTGGCTATTGCTACAAATATACCCATGCTACTTATGACTGGTTTTGTGCTCCAGGGACACAAATGGATTACTCGCACAGATGACAGAATGGACTCTGTGGAAAACAGCAGCATGAAGCAGCAGCGCGCGTCCTCGCCAGCCAGATTCAAAGATTCGCCGTCCAAAGCGGCTTCCAAAAGCGCGTCTGGCAAAGCCTCCGGCGGCGTGTCAAAGAGCGGCGGTAAGAGCAGCCGCAGTAGTTCTCCGGTCACCAGCAAAGACCGGCATGCGGCCCGAGGCGCGGCAGCTGTCCACGGCAGTGGAGCAGAAAGCCCGACTCTGAGATGCGCGGAGAAGAGCAAGAGCATCGAGGAGCGCAGCAGCTCCTCCGAGGAGCCCTACGCCACCGACGAGCCGGGCCTGGGGGTGGTGTCCGATCAGCCGAGCTCCACCAAATCCTCTCAGGGCAAGAGAGAGACGGCGAGAGCCGATGGAGGCAAGACGGCCAAGAGCGCAGTAGGCTGCGGCCCGGGCTTCTGGAGGGAGGGATGCTTGCAGTCTGAGCTCATACAGTTTCACATGAACAAGAGCTTGAAGAAAGAAAGCGGCCTGCCGGCGAAGACGCCGAGCTCACCGCTAACGGAGCCGCAGCTGCCGCCCGCCAACGCAAACCGGCCCTCAGAGGCCTCACCTCCACCAAACCTGGAGCTGCAGGAGGACATCGAGAGACTGGAGGACGAGAACGAATACCTGAAGGTAGGATGTAGGCAGGGGTTAAATTGGGATTTGTTATGTGGGGGGGGGCACTATGGTATCGAGCTTTGCTTTTATATATATATATATATGTGTGTGTGTGTGTGTGTGTGTGTGTGTTTTTGTATGTATGTGTTTTGATTTTTGCAAATGTGATTTATTCTGAAGCAATATTCGCATCAGTTTTCTGTGAGCTGTGACATATAAATCTGCGTGTTTTTTATAATTTATCCAAGGGCATTTTTTTTTTATCTTTATAGGGCATTTTCCCTCTAATCTCATTAATACTGTCATTTCAAATTCTTACATTTGATCTATAAATTCAATTATAATAATGTGATTATCTATACGTTATCAAATTAAATCATTTACACTGAAAAATACAACTGCCTTAAATAATGAGATTATTTTCAATATTTTTGAATATACAAGCAAGAAATGATGGTGGAAATGATACTTTTCAACGAAATTAAAACGCCAGTAGGTGCCAGTAGTGAGCGTTTAATGAGTGAGTCATTGAGTCGTTCATTGAAACGACGAGAGACGAATCTACTTCAACATATGCTGATAACGGTATATAGCTAACTGTTTTAATTTATTCCCTTAATATTTCTATTGTAGCCCGTATATAATGAAAAAAAAAAACGAGAAGAAACGTATTTCATGTTAAACAGGTTGTTTTTGAAAGTCAGTGCTTGAAATAGGCTAAAATAGATTTTTATTGATGACTGCAGTGTTTATATTTTAATTACAGGCCTGTAATTCATTGTATTTAGGCTAATAGACCTGTTTTAAAAGACCTTTTAATTGAGGAGTAAATAGCCTAATCTTTTGTTATCCTCGCAGCGCGTCACTTAACGTATGCGGTAACGTTAGGCCTAATATTGCGGGGCAAATGAATAGTAATTTTAATTTAATTATAAAAGTAACTTATAGGCTAATAACAATAGGCCTAATAAAAATAAGAATGTAACAGGCCTACATTAATTGGAAATGCCAAATCCTCTTAATATTGCCAATAATTGAATATCTCTGGCTATCGTCGACACAAGATCATGTGTTTCGACGCAACCCAGGGCCTTTCGTTTCGACAGCACGTTGCCTGTTACGTCGTTTGGGCTGCCTTGTTGAGTGCAGTGGCACTGAGAACATTATATTTCACACACTTTAAGCTCTTTTATTTTCCAAATGTAATAGGCCAACGAATCGTTCGGTTTGTAATGCGTACCGAACCGAAAGCCTCGTACCGAATGGTTCAATACAAATACGTGTATCGTTACACCCCTAGTAGGATGCGTAATGTAGCTAGAAATTTGGCTTTATTAAAAAAACATTTAAAATGAAATGCAAACGATGTCTTTTTGTAATGAACAACATGCTTTCGATTCTAAATTTACATTTAGTCATTTAGCGGACGCTTTTATCCAAAGTGACTTACAAATGAGGACAATGGAAGCAATCAAAATCAACAAAAGAGCAACGATACGCAAGTGCTATAACAAGTCTCAGTTAGCCTAACGCATTAAAAATTTACATTTAAATTAAATTGATTTATATTTTTTGTAGGACATTTTTTTGTCCAACTATTTTAAAGTAGTTCGGCATAAATCTTTTTTTTAAGGTTGATTAATAAGAATTATTGAAAGAGAATATTATTAATACTTGAAGCCATAGTGCAGGGAGCCATTGTTGTTTTATCATGTGAGGAGAAGAACATAAAACCCCATAAACTCACGACTGCAAGACTGAAGAAAAAAAGTGTAGGATTTACTTGGACACCATATTCACTCAGAAATTGCATATACATTTATGTTTATAATAACAAATAATTACAAAGAAACAACAAATAAAATATTGAATTAAACGTGACATTTTTAAGTAGAAAGACTGAAATGTTTCTTTCTTGTCTTATTTACAGCTTAAAAAAAAATGCTTTTTTAGATTGAAATGCAGTAAGTATGGAAGCCCGTTCCCGCCACTTTGAGAAAAAATACAATTCTGTAAGTCATAATAATGAGACTCTTTATTGTAATTATGCCTTAGTATCTCACAATAATGAGAAACTTTCTCATAATTATGAGTTAATATATTATAATATTCAGGGGGGAAAATCTCATACATAACGAGAAACTTTCTCGAAATAATGATTTATTTTCTCAAAATAATGACTTATTTTCTCATAATGAGAAAGTTTCTCGAAATAATGAGAAACTTTCTCGTAATAATGACTTAACATCTCGTAATAACGAGAAACTTTCTCGAAATAATGACTTATTTTCTCGAAATAATGACTTATTCCACGCATGCGCAACACTCTGTTGGTCAAAGTCATACAGGAACACCGCAAATATTTGTTCTGTAATCTAAAGCAGTGTTTCCCAACCGGGTTGCCGTGTAAAAAATCCTTTTTTAATATTCTTAAATTGCTAAAATGTTCAAAAAAGCATCTATTATATAATATCCATTTCTGATGTCGCCAATAATTAGAGATGCACCGAAAATTAGTTCACCGCTCAGGTTTCACTTTCACGTGGTGTGACGCTCTGCGTATTATCCGCTCTATGTGTGCTCCAAAGGGTGCCGCGACTAAAAAAAGATTGGGAAACATTGATCTAAAGTGTATAATATCATGAAATAACGATTTCAGATAAATTATATGTATGTAGTGTTTCGTTAATTTGCAGCACCTACCAACAAGTTACAAGCTTCAAACAGATATAGAGGAATATATTCCATCAAAAATCACACGCATTTTATGAAAAAATGAAAGCCATTACACGTAAACTTAATGAATAGATGTTCATTTCGATGATTTGTTAGTTTTATTAGCTGTCACTTTCATGCATCTCATAGGCCCACAATGTTTATACAGTAGCCCAATCTCATCTTGCTAGCACAAAGCGTAGTTGTTGGTTACCACGGCAACCGCCTGGTCTTCGATCAGCATCCCACTTCTTGCAGGACATGTGAACGTGAAAAATGCTTAATTAATGTGGCTTACAGTACAATGACAAATTCAGGATGCAATATAATTGATCATGCATACGGGCAAGCATAAGAGCCCAGAATTTGAACGCAACACCCAAAGTTGCACGTTAAGCGTTTTCCTGTAGAAAACCGTTATAGAAAATGCATAAGCGTTGCTGTTTTGCGTTGCATTCATATTTTGGATCCACCTGAATGCCTGTATATGGTATGCATGATCATTAAGTTGTGTACTGAATTTAGTTCAATCTGTCTTTGTACGTCAAGCCACGTTAAGCATTTTTCACGGTTTCTCGGGGTGGCTCGCGCTGGTTCTCAGGGCCCCACCCCAGTGCCTTTCTTCCCAGAGGTGCATGATGAGATCGCTGGGTCATGGACGGCACCTTTCACTGCCAGAAACCGGCCCAGTGGCTCATCCTCCCTCACCACCCTTGATGGGGGTCCAGCGCGGGGGTACGCGGGAGTCCCCCAGGCGGAGCGGTCGGTTGCGATGCAATTGTGTCCAAATGCCGCTACCACTTGGCGGGGAAAACCGTTGCTCCCCTCCCGGGCCTGTAGGCACTCGTCGGCCTTGATCGGCAGTGCTTATACGGCCTGTGGAGAAGCTGCGTCCGCCTTACACGCTTCGGCGTTATTGCAAGTGCACCAGGCTAAGGCACTGAGGGACTTGCACGAGGGTGGTCATGACCCGGAAGTTCTCAAAGAACTCCGCACCGCGACGCACCTCGCGCTACAAGCGACGAAGGTTACGGCGCGGTCTCTGGGTCATGCGATGTCCACTATGCTTCAGGGAACGAGGGTTACCATACGTAACCGAGACGTTTTCCTGCATAGAGAACTATGAGGTGGCCGTCTCTGTTTGTCGACAAAACTCAGGCAGTCACTTGCAAGTGTCACTGAACAGCATCCATTCGAGCTTATAGTTCAAAACTGGTCATATTTGGAAAAATACTGATTTTGAATAAACTGATAATGTGAGAAATGTTGAAGATGTCTGAATAAATTTTGGTTTGACTGTATGTCTGTATGTAAACTGCATGATTAGAAAATATTTCTCCTTAAAAATATGTTTGCCAACTTGAATAATTAATATCATATGTATTCAAGTTCTGAGACAAATATTATTAATGATAGTAAATAAAGTTACTATATCATAACTTTTGTTGAACATGCAATAAAGGTTTTTTAAACTAAAATAAATTGGTTGCATTTCTGACAATTGGCTCCAACTAGATTTTAAAATGTTCCACCATTATATGTCACTGACCCTCATAACATTATACGTATTAAATATAGTTATGCATATTTTTGTAAGCAAACCTGACTGTCATGTGAATTTGTGATTTATTAGCATGAAATTGAAGAAATGCGAGCGGAGATGGATGAAATGAGGGACACGTTCTACGAGGAAGACGCCTGTCAGTTGCAGGACATGCGGCGTGAACTGGAGAGAGCCCATAAGAACTGCAGGATCCTTCAGTATCGCCTGCGAAAGACAGAGAGGAAGCGAATGCGATACGCAGAAACCGGTGAATTTGATGGGGAACTGCTGACTTTGCTGCCAGACTGTACAAACTAGTGTCAAAAAAGCACAATCACAAAACAACAATGAATGAGACAGTGACAGTAAAAAGACAACAACATCTGTAAAATGTTCATTCCTCTACCAGGTGGCCAAGGATGTGTCTGTGCGTCTGCACAACGAACTGGAGAATGTGGAGGAGAAACGAACGAGAACAGAAGAAGAGAATGAAAGACTGAGGCAACAGCTGATTGAAGTGGAGGTGACCAAACAGGCTTTACAGAATGAGCTGGAAAAGACCAAAGAGGTGAGAGCGTCTCGAAATATACAGATGTCAAACTAAGCCATTTTCAGTGCACTGTGAGAAAAATGGTATTGAATGAACCTTTTTAAACAATTTTCACTCAGAAATTGCTAGAATTAAAATTACAAATACTGATTACTGAATTAAGTATGACATTTTTAAGCAGAGAGACTGACATTCTTGTAAAACATATTCTTTGTTTTATTTACAACTTCAAAAAATATTTTTTGTACGGATTGTCTCTCTATACTCATTTAACATGTGCACAGACACATCAAGCATCATTTGTTTTGAGAATACAGATAGTTTCTGTATAAATAATGAAGTTCCATCATTTTTATTTCCAATATATTGCAAATTATGAACATGCAATCATATTTCTGTCAGCTCTCTCTGAAACGAAGAGGAAAAGATGTACAGAAATCAGAGAAGAGGACTCCACAAACCCCATCAGAGGTAAGAGCAATGTTGTTTGCATCCAGAGCCTTTCTGTAGCTCAAACAGTAGCGCATGGTGCTGTAGCAACGCTAAGGTCATGGGTCTGATTCCCAGGGAATGCAAGGACTGACAGCATGTGTACCTTGAACAGTGTTGCCAGACTAGGTTGACGATTTCCAGCCCCAAACGTTCACTGCCAAGATAATGTGACACAATTCTATTGCCATGTCAGCCAAGGTTTATAAGGACTGTTTTAACTTAATAGTGACAAAATAAAATTAGAAAATGTATCAATTTCCCCAACAGGAAAAAAGATCAAGACATGGGAAATACAGTAAAAAAAAATATGTAACAAAATGTTTCTACCCAAACAGGTAGAAACTATTAAAGTGTGTCAGATATTTGCAAATGGCAGACAAGAAATTAACAGACCTTAACTCTTGGAAACACACATGCATCGTTTTCATTGTCAACAGCAAAATCAAGCCAATTCAAATGAAGACTAAAAAGCTCAGTATAAGTGATCGGAATAAGCAACATAATTAGTGCAACAAGCTAACTTTTTGGGTCATGCACACACCAAAAGAGCTGAAAATGTGTCATTCGTGTTTAAAAAAATTAACAACAACCATAATAATATTCTTACCTTCAGGTTGCGCTTTAACTTCAAACAGAACAAAAGTTGGGTTCACTCTCCCACTTTGTAGTACAACTTATATTACTGTAGCCACAACTTATATTTATGCCACTTTAGCATAGCCGGACACTAAGGGTTCGTTGGTAACCAGTTTGCCTTTAAAATGTAAATTTTAAAACCAGTGTTGGGCGAAATTACTTTTAAAAGTAATGTATTACAATATTGCGTTACTCCATTAAAAAGTAACTATTTGCATAATTTAGATACTTTTTATGGAAAGTAATGCATTACGTTACTTTTGTGTTACTTTGTCACCTGGGCTGGGCTTGCCTATTTGTTTTTTAATAAAAATTAAAAAAAACAAAGTTATATTTTTGGCATCTGTAAAGGCTCTTTCACACTAAAAGTGAAATTAATAAGCCTCGGGCTGAAGGAAGTGGCTCTGAGCTTACTCCCAATTTCTCTCAACATGGGGACAGGAGAGGTGTCATTGAATAAACTGGAAAACAAAGTAACTGGCGTTACTTATTTGAAGAAGTAACTCAGATATTTTCTTGTAAATTTAAAAGTAATGTGTTACTTTACTGGTTACTTGGAAAAGTAATCTAATTAAGTAACTCGTGTTACTTGTAATACATTACCCTCAAATCCCACCAAACTGATCCCAAACCAACCCAAATTTTGTCCACCCATCCAAAGCAATTTTGACCAGCACAATCAAATTCAAAACCACCCATTTGGGAGGAAATCCTCCCAATCTGGCAACACTGACCTTGGCTGCAGTGTAGGCAGGGTTGCCAGGTTTTCACAACAAAACCTGCCCAGTTGCTACTCAAAACTAGCCCAATCGCGTTTCGAGGGAGGTACCCCGGTAAAAATCGTGTTCCGGAGAGTAAAATTCACATTTTAGGGGCTAAATATCACATTATTGGGGTTGCTTAAACCTGCGGACATGAAAAACAACCCGCGGCAACAGTGTTAAAGTAGCCCAATTCCGTGGGAAAACCGCAGACTTGGCAACACTGAGTGTAGTGGATAAAAGTGTCTGCCAGATGCATAAATGTAAATGAGCATAGCACTCATTTGGTTTGCATCAACACATGGACAATTTGAAAGTAAATTAAACACCATTTCAAAACCATGTTTTCTTCCATAGGAGGAAAATGAAGATCTGAAATGCCAGTTGGCCTTCATCAAAGAGGAGGCTATCTTAATGCGGAAGAAAATGGCTAAGATAGACAAAGAGAAGGACCGTTTAGAGCAGGAGGTCCAGAAGTACCGCTCCTTTTACGGTGATGTAGACAGTCCTCTCCCCAAAGGCGAGGCTGGAGGTCCTCCCACCACCAGAGAGTCCGAGCTGAAGCTGCGTCTGCGGCTGGTGGAAGAAGAAGCCAATATATTAGGCCGCAAAATCGTGGAGCTGGAAGTGGAAAACCGCGGGCTGAAGGCAGAGCTGGACGATATGCGCGGGGATGAGCTGTCTGGAGGGACGATGGACCCCTCGTCTAGAGAGCAGAGCGAGGCGCTGTCCGAACTTCGGCAGCAGCTTCAGTTGGTGGAGGACGAGGCTGAGCTTCTGCGCCGCAGTTTGTCTGACGTGGAAGAGCAGAATAAGAAGATGACCAGCGAGCTCAACAAGCTCAAATACAAGGCCGGGTCACACGAGGGATCGCGCTTTAGCAGCGCAGTGGTCGATGGAGCGAAATTTGAAGCCCTGCAGGAAGAGCTAAAAGCCGCTAGGCTGCAGATCAACGAACTGAGTGGGAAAGTGATGCAGCTGCAGTATGAAAACCGTGTGCTGCTGTCCAACATGCAGCGCTACGATCTGGCCTCTCATCTCGGCATCCGCAGCAGCCCGAGAGACAGCGATGCAGAGAGCGACTGCGGCCGCAGGGAAAGCGACGATGACTGCTCTCGCCTCACGCCGCATCGCAAACGTGAGGGTCCCGTCGGTGGAGAAAGCGACTCCGACGAAGTCCTCAACATCCGGTGCCTGACTCCCACGCGCTCCCTTTACACCCCTGAGGGACGTTTTTTATCCAGAGGTTTCAAAGACCGCCAGCAGATGATTGATATCCGGATGGAGGCGGAGAGATTGAGTAGGACCATCGACAGACTCATCGCTGATACCAGCACCATCATCGCAGAGGCTCGTGTTTACGCCACCAACGGAGAGCTGTTTGGAAGAATGGATGACGATGACGAGGGCAGTCGGATACGAGAGCACGAGCTGCTTTACCGCATCAATGCTCAGATGAAAGCCTTCAGGAAGGAGCTGCAGAACTTCATTGACCGCCTGGAAGTCCCGAAACCAGAAGACCGAGAAACTGAAGAGCCTCTGTCAGTAAGTGCAAATAAACGCAAGACTTACCCAAGTCTGTTTAAAGGAATATTTGGCCTGAAATTAACATTCAATCATTATTTAACAATTCTCATGTCATTCTTTTTTTCAACAAAGGAGATATTTTAAAGAATAATACTACAGGTTTATTTTCATCGCATTACAATCACACTAAATGACTAACTTGAGTATTCATATTCATCCATTTTCAAGTAATTTTGTGAACAGACTGAATTTAAGTAGTTTATATTCACTGCAAATCTTTGCATTCTGCCATGAAATGAAATATAGCATCAGGTTTGACCTCAGTGATATTGTTTGCCATTTGCATGATGCTTGCAGATGTTATTGGCATTGAATAGGGCATTTTGATTTGACAGCTATGGTGGAGAATAGAGAATTTTTAGAAAATAATGGCTTCCGTTTTGGTCTGATTGTCAGACAAGGCCATCGTATGACTTCAAAAGGCTTGGTATAAAATGCATGATTAAAAAAACTGCATACACATTTGTTAACTCTTAAAATAAATAAATAAAACCAGTGGTTAAACTTTAGTTTGGGAACCAGTTCTCACAATTAACTATGATTTTTGCCTCAATAAGATCCTAATTTTATATTTATTAATAGCGAGTAAGGTAGTTGTTAAGTTTAGGTGTGGGGTTTAAGGATTAAGGGATCTAAAATATGGTCATGCAGAATAAGGCATTAATATGTGCTTTATAAGTACTAATGAACAGCCAATATGCTAGTAATATGCATGCTAATAAGTGACTAGTTAATAGTGAGAATTGGTCCCTAAACTAAAGTGTTACCAAAACAGCATATGGGTTTGGAACAAGGGTGGGTAAATATGGCAAATTGTAATTCTGGGTTGGACTTTTCCTTTAATTTCGTATGGTTTGTTGCTTGGATAAATTTGATATTTTCTAATCTTGAACATATGTAATGAATATTTCACTGTTCTGCTTCTCTTTAGACTCACTGTTCCTTTCTCTCTTATATTTCCTCTTCCGTTTTGATATCAACCCAGATGTTTCAACCTATTATTTTGCTTATTCTCATCCTTGTCTTATTTTCATGTTTATCATATGCCACAATTTTCAAACTAGTCTTTCTTTTCACTCTTTTCTTTGTTCTGTAAACTTTCGTTTTTAATTTATACTACCGTTTTGTTGCTTTCTTCCTTTTCTTTTTTTTCTGCTTTCTTAATTTATCATATGATTTTGGACATGTCATTAAGGTTATGGAAGGTACAGGAAGTGATCATCATTTCAGGCACAGAATACAGTCACTCAACCAAACACAAGCTTCCGTTCAAAAACAGCGATGACAGCTGCTCTTCACTGATTGCATATATTTGGTGAGTATTTTTGTGTATTTCATTAACGTGTTACAATTGATACAGTTTAAATTATGCTTTTGCATTAAAGGGGTCATATGATGCGATTTCAAGTTTTCCTTTCTCTTTGGAGTGTTACAAGCTCTTGGTGCATAAAGAAGATCTGTAAAGTTGCAAAGACTAAAGTCTCAAATCCAAAGAGATATTCTTTATAAAAGTTAAGAGTCAGCCACGCCTACCTAAAACGGCTCGTTCTAACACGCCCCCACATATCTACGTCACTGTGTGGATATATTTGCATAACGCCGCCCAAATGTTCACGCAAAGAAAGAAGGCGTAACTTTTATTCTCGCTGTAGTATTGTTGCTGCCGCCATGTCGTAAAGACGCTGTGTGCTTCGTTGTGAAAGCGAAACTACTTTGTTTCGTCTTCCAAAAGAGGACACGACTAGAAATCAGTGGTTAAGTTGTATTTACAACACTGTTCCAGAACACTTCAACCCAAATATTCAGATGTGTGCAGCACATTTTATGGAGGACGGTTTACTGATCCTGGGAGAGTAGACTACAATGCCGGCTGTTCTGACTCACAGACTGTAAGAACGTCTTTTATATTTAAAGAGTTTTTATATGTTATATATTTAAAGTGAGTTTTTTGAGCAGTGTAGAGTAGCACTTGTTGTTTGTCATTACTCCGATCACAAATGCAATTAACTGAATATTTATACAGAACATGAAAAATTCTTTGCTCCAACATTTTATTGACTGTAAAACATGTTTTGCAAACAATAATAATACAATTTGTGCATTGTACATTAGAAAAAAAAAATGTGCCATTGATTTCTGCAGCATGTTAGACTCTTAAAAATAAAGGTGCTTCACGATGCCATAGAAGAACCTTTTTGTCTAAATGGTTCCATAAAGAACCTTTAACATCTGAAGAACCTTTCAGTTTCAAAAAAGATTCTTTGTGGAGAAAGAAGGTTCTTCAGATTATAAAAAGGTAAGAAAGAGATGGTTCTTTAAAGAACCTTTGACTGAATGGTTCTTTGTGGAACCAAAAAGGGTTCTGCTATGGCATCGCTGTTAACAACCTTTTAAGCACCTTTATTTTTAAGAGTGTATCCTATTTATATTCTCCTTGTTCCTTCAAGAACCCAGTTGGCCATGTGGTTATTTGGAGATTTAAAAAGTTCTTGATGTTACATTTTAGGTGATAAGTGTATTGGTAATAAGTATAATCTGTTAACAGAGGACAAAGTGAAGCCCTTCTCTGACGCTCCAGTGCTTAGATGATTTTCTAAAGAACCATATAACCATCTGACATCAGGATCTAAAACCCATTTAAAACCTTTATTATGAAGACTGCACTTTCAAAATAAAGAATGTGTCATGTGTATATATAAAATTTTGTTTTAAAGGTTGATGATCTGCTTTACACTGAAAACTGTGAATATTGGCAGCTGTTTTATTTTCTTTTGTACTCATTGCGACCCTTAAAAATAACACTAGTTTGTGCACTACTGCAAAATGTGGCATTTTTACTGATTTTGTTGAGATGTTTGTTCTCTGTCTTTTTGATTCTCATAGTTATTGTCAGTATGACACGAGTGAATGGAGTGCATATGTATTTTAAACTGTAGAAATCTAGTGAAAAGTGTCAAATACACTCTAAAAGCAGATATGTGCAGTTTTTATTTTTTAGGATCTTTTCTACCTGACCTAACCTTTGAAATTTAACTTTGTTAGTGTGACCTAATCAGGTTGATAGCCATACTGAATATTTTGTTACTTGTTGATAAGCCAGCGTTTTATGCAGCTTAAAAAACCATAAGTAAGCCATTCATAGTCTAATCTTCTGGAGAGTTATCATATTTGCATGTAGTGCTATGAAAGTTCCCCCATTTGTTTTGAGCGACCCTCTAATCTGACTTGACTCTCTGGTTGGTGGAGTAGTAATTGTTGATGGGAGCGTATTTGGAAAGCTGTTTTATTTTACTTACAATCCTGTTCGGTGGCGCCAGTGGTGCATAAATGACATACTTCATATTTATTTATATTCATATTTACATATTTTATTTATATTTATTTTACAGTTTTTTCTAAACGTCTGAAACCGGGAATGTAGGCCATGTTTTAAAATAAAGCAAAGTCGATCGCCACCGTATGTTGATGAACTTGGCTAAAATGCTACTTGTTAATTCTGATTAGAAATAAATGTAAAAAATATATTGAACATGGAGTGTAATATTGCTGTTTTAAAAATATTAGATTTAACTAAAATATGGATGCAGTTCTCAGTCACATCAAACTGTTTGACAAGAAAGTTTCAAGTTGTCATCCTCTCTGTGTTTAGTTCCTTTTAGTTTCCTTTGTTTCTAAGTAGGTTCTCATTTTTAGGTTACACTTTATTCTGATAGTCCACTTTAGATATTCTACTAACAGTAAGTAACTTTGCAACTACATGTCAACTAATCCTCATTAATTCACAACTACATGTCTACTAACTCTCAGAGTAGACGGTTAGGTTAGGTTTAGGGTTAGTAGAATAAGTTGACATATACTTGCAAAGTTTCTGATAGTCAGTATGTTGTATGTTGTGGATGCATCAAAATAAAGTGTTAGCAGATATTAAGCAGACAGTCTACTAATACTCTAATGACTGCTAGTTGACATGTAGTTGCAAAGTTACTTACTGTTAGTAGAATGTCTAAAGTGGACTATCAAAATAAAGTGTTACCCATTTTTACTATTGTTTTATTACTATTACGTTATGGTCATTTAAAAAAAAATTGTTAACACGCCATAGCCTACTGTAAACCGTAATATCACTGTAAGGTGTCAATGCATAAGTTAAAGTTGAAGTTTCCGTGTGCATATGCCGCTGAATGACTGGCGTCCAACAGACAGGCCTAGTGACAGAGGTAAAAATACATGTGAACTCTTACATGAGTATTTTGGGCTCTTGACTCTGAGTATCGGTGTCGTTTTCAGTCTGAAGAAGAGTAAGCTAATGGACAACTTCATTCTGCAGTTCACTAGATTATCTCATTACGGATAAAATAATGTAGACTGAGAATTTATAACCAAAGGGATGTAATTGAGAGGACGATACTATTTTAACTGTGAAGTCGGCGCCAGAGAATGACAGTTTGACCTTGTCGTCCTTTATTGACATGGAAGCAAGCCTGGGCTCCGGAGGAGAGGGCAGAGATGGCTGGGTTCGGATAATAATAAGTGTGTGTTATAAGGGGACTGCAACTACAAATAGTTAAAAAGAGGCTGTGTTTCGTTGTGACTGAAAGATGTGGAATGCGTTTGGAAATGGATCGAGCGGGTATGTGAGCAAGGCGCAAGGCTGGGAGTTTGTCCCGTGCTCGCGTCTGGAGAGGCCCGGTAAGAAGCTCCAGAGTCCCTCCAGGGTTCGGTCTTTCCCGAGCAACCTTCTGCAGCTTCCACCTGGACCTTCTGCTGCTGCTGCATCCGATGCGACTGGAGGACAAACTCAGAATCTGGAGCTACAGAGTCCGCACACGCGCACAAAAAAGAAACTCGAGGAATTAAAGAAGCGCTACGATCAAGAGAAGGAGGAGTGGAGAATGGAGAAGGAAATGCTTTTGAGACAAGTTGCTGATATACAAGTACAAACAGATGCATGCATGCGACATGACTGAGTGGATTTGACCAAACAACGGTGTGCAATGAAATGCCGACGTCTTCTCTATCTTCTTCTGCGTTGTATTTGCAGGGTGGAGAGAACAGGAGGATATTGTTGGATCTGAAGTGTGTTTTAGAGGAGGTGCAGTCGGGGGTGAAGCGTGAGGAGAGTAAACGGGGTGAGCTGGAGCTGCAGTACATGAAGGATCGATGCGCCTGGGAACTGGAGCGATCAGAGCTGAAAAGTCGCATTACTCAGGTATGAAAATTACATCTCTTTAAGATATATTGATAGGCCTGCCGTCTTTGATAGCAATTTTACTCCAGTGAGTGTTTCTCAGGGGTTTATTTGTGAAAGTGAAACGCCAAGATGCGCATAAATTCTAAAAATGCGCATAAAAAAACTTCTGCGCACATTTGAGTAGTATAAACGTTTTATCCGATAAGAAAAAATGCGCATACACTACGATGGAAACACATTTAAGTTACCGAATAAATTCCTCCATGCGCATCGAAAAAGCCATGTGACTTTTTCGTTCTCGTTCTCGTTCACAGCATCTATATGTTGTTATGGTCGTTCTGAAATGCCTGAGCAAAGTCAGTCGTCAAAGTATTTCTGTATAATAGTCGTACACGACTGCGTTCCCAAACATCTGGCATCCTCCGACGAAAGCAACGACTGCATTTATTGTGCTACGTCTGCTCGCTCTGAGGCGCAAGTCATTTATATCATATATGAAAATTATTATTCAGTGCCTTCTCCTATATTTTTAGTGATATTTAGTGCCACAGTTTACCAGGAAGTGACGATTTTGTTCTCTTTGACTCGTTGGATGGAAACGGTGCTTTATTCGCATATGTTTTATGCGATATTCCAGTTTTGCGCATAAGTTTAATTCGAATCTTTGGAGGGAAACATAACAGCTAGTCAACATGTGCACGGTAATTTTCCAGGGTAAAAGATACTGTTAATTGAACACAGACTATAGCGAGGCATGTTGTCACACTATGTGGGGAAAGTTGTCACAATGTGAACTTGATGTGAATTGATTTAAGTTAAATAACTTATGGCATATGCAATAGAGCTATTGTTTGAAATAAATATAAGGTAATATATATATATATATAAATTCCACTGCATGCATTATACAATATTTAATGTCTTTCAGAAAAAAAATTAACCATTATGAAGCACAAACCAATTCAGAAAAAAAAATGTTTTTTTTTTTCTTATTTTTTTAATTTTAGTTTTGGCCGACAGAAACACAAATAACATGTCATTCAATAAACAAAATAACAGCACATAAAAAAGTAAAAAATAAGACATTTATGGAAAAAAAAAAACTTGTTTTTAAGTTTTTGTTTAAAAATTTAAATGCTAAAAAGAACAACAATCTCAGCTGGCATTGCACACAAATAATGCATGCTTTAATTATTTGTTGGTTTTCAAATGCTTGTCATTAAGCATAACTCGGAGATTGCATAGGCTTTGTGTAACACAAACACTATCAAGTGCAAATATATCCTGTCAACAGCAGCTTTGTGGGTAAGCAGCCACACAAGACCAGCTATTAGATCATATCTACAAAGAATGAAAAAGTAATTTGACATTTCACGGTAAGATGTAGGAGTAATATGTGGAAACTATGTTACCAAACTAAAAATAGCACCTACTTCTGATTAGTTTTCACCTTAGTGCATTGTCCCTCTCGAATGGAATGCTTTCATTTCTGTTTATGACATCCTTATAAAGATACAGTCCAGATCGTCTTGTGTTCACTATCCACGGGGAGAGAAGATTAGGGTTTTATAGATGACTGTGAGTGTGAATGAGTGACTCAGACACTCCTAATACAGTAGCACAGACAGCATTGCACATGAGATAAGGAGTAGAGGAGCTTTGAATGGTTGTGTGATGCTGAATCTTGTGATGAACTGCACCTCAGGACATATACTACACACAAAGCGTTATTAGACAGACGAGACTCCATCATGCTTGGTCTAAGTTAAACACACTATAAAGACATACAAAACAATAGCCTTATAATGGTGTGCTGCTGTTTAGTGACTCTGCGGACTTCACTGCAACTGCACTTGTTTGAATTCAGAAAACGATTCGGGTTTAGCCGCACAAATCCACCCAAAGTATTAGTTGGTGCAGAGAACAGAATTCAGGGAGGGGTCAAGCTAAACTGTAAAAACTTGTTTTCTTTGCCGTCCACATCCTACCACAGCACATACTTTTGTCCCAGTGGATTTCTTAGGTTTACCGCTAGGCATTCACAGCAGGGTATGTGCCAGCATATTTCTGAGCATATATTTGTGATCTTTAAAACGGAGATGAGTTCCTCCAGGGCCCCACCCTTAGGAATGCGATATGCTAAAGGATTGGTCTTGCTGTCTATTAATAGAGAGCTGTTTTTATGACATTGTTACCCAGACACAGAGCGCACAGCAGCCGCGGTCATTATATTTTAGTCTTAAAACTACAGCAGCACCCTACCACTGTCAACTCTGGTTACATGGCACATCAGTGTTTCACATGCCCTCTGCTTGTAAACACACGCTGCTAGCGCACCCAGGAGAATGCATAGGTTCAATGACAGTGTGCCAGCACATTTTAGTGCTATAGGTTTATACAAACACTGCTTCACTCTGGTTCGTTGCTAAGAGAAGCATAAATAAGATTCACCTATTTTTGTCTTGGCGGTTGCACAGATAGTGGCACATGAAGGTTTAGTCCAAGCAAGACTTTAAAACATCACAACTGAGTTCTCAGCTATTTTAAGATGTCCGACTTTTGTCCGATACATTTTATTTTCAGGATTCTTTGAATAGAAAGATCAAAAGAACAGCATTTATTTTAAATAGAAAGCTTTTGCAACATTATAAATGCCTTTACTCTCGCTTTCGACCAATTTAATGCATCCCAACTAAAAGTTTTCTTAAAAAACTTTAGGTAACACTTTATTTTAGGGTCTCTTAACTAGTTGCTTATTAGCATGCATATTACTAGAATATTAGCCATTTATTAGCACATATTAATGCCTTATTCTACATCCCTAATCCTGCCCAATACCTAAACCCTAAACTTACCTTACTAACTATTAATAAGCAGCAAATTAGGAATTTATTGAGGGTAAAGTCGTAGTTAATAGTGAATAAGTGTTCCCTATTCTATAGTGTTACCAAACTTTTAAACTGTAGTGTATAGCATGAAAAAAAAACACAACAAGCAAAATTATATGTAATGATTTATGCAGACTATAGGTCTCAATGACATCAACAGCATCTGTCAGCTGCAGAGTTCAATCAAGCTCAGTGACAAACATGGATTTAGTGTCTGCTGTCTAGTGAACTCTCTCTCCAGGATCATCGGGGGGTCAGCATACCGACGTGGCCTCTCCATTACATGCAAAACTCTCGGCACTAGTCTGAGCTGTTTGTGTGAGTAGGCTTAGGCTGGGCATCCGATGAGGCCTTGGTGAGGACTCAAGGTCCATTTCATCCTATTGGCGATAGGTTTACCTAAACTCCTCTTTCCTGTCCAAATGCTTGCTTTTCTCTGTCCAACTGTCCTATACACTCATTTCCTATTTGGTGGTCAGCAAATCCCTGCCTCTCTTCCCCCACAGTTAGAAGCCCGGGGATGTAGTTTGGTGGTGGAGACTGTGAGGAGTTCAGAACTAGGGGACACTCTGAAACAGGAGAGAGCAGAACAAAAGAAGCTGCTGGCAGACACTCACAGTGCGGCCATGGACCTTCGTTGCAGGCTGGAGAACAGTGAGAGGGGCTGGGTGAAGGAGAAATCTGAGCTGCTGGAACGCTTTGAGGCTGAGAGGAAGGAGTGGGAGAACCAGCTCATGGACATGCAGCGGAGGATTGAGGAGGTGAGTCTGTGGATGTGCACCACTCCCCACAGCTCAGCTGAGAGAACGGTATCTTGTTTCAGACTGATTCCCTAAGTACTCCTGTTTACTTCCATGCTAAATGAACGCTCTGCAAGTAAGCCTTGATGGATAATGGTAACAGCTAAAATTGGAAGCGGTGAAGTCACATTATATAAACCTTGGAATTGCAAGTGACTGCCAAAGGAAGTTTAGCTCGGTGGTGACCGGCAATCATCAGACAGAAGCTGAGAGCTTGAAGTTAGTGGCAGTGAAAGTGCAAACATATATGCATTTGGCATACATTTCATTAAAAGTGCATTTAAGCTATGCATATTATCAGTATGGGCAATCCTTCAAAATCAAACCAAGAACCTAGGTGTTGCTATTGCTCTATTCTCTACCATTTGAGCTGTATTTCTTAGGTCCATTTGCGACCTTTCCATAAACTAACCTTTTCCATCCATTCTTTTCCATCCAAGTCTGTCAAAGTGTAATCCCATACAGCCTGACTTCCAAATGCTTAGCTCTAGACCAGTATTCCTCTAATTCAGCCCTGGAGGACCACTGGCATGCAGAGCTTAGCTCAAACCCTGATCAAAGCTGTAATTTTAGTTACTAGTAACTCTGAACACCTTGATTAGCTTGCTCACGTGTCTTTGATTAGGCCTGCAGCTAAACTCAACAAGGCAATGGCCCTCTAGGGCTGCATTGAGGGACTGAACCATGACTTGATTGGTAGGTGGTTACATATGCATTTTGGCAGACAATTTTATCCAAAGCAATTTACACCATATGAATGATGCATTTATATAGCGCTTTATTGTGTATTGTTGTACACCCAAAGTGCTTTACAATCATGTGGGGGGTGTCTCTCCTCAACAACCACTAGTGTGCAGCATCCACTTGGATGATGCGATGGCAGCCACAGGACAACGGTGCCAGTGTGCTACCCACACACCAGCTACAGGTGGAGAGGAGAGAAAGTCATAGAGCCAATCAAGTGGTTGGGGATTATTAGGTTCATGGTACATATTCATGGTATAGCCTATATTTTATAATTTCATGCATTATCTGGGAATTGAACCCACAATATTGTCATTGCGAGCGCAATGCTGTACTACAGGGATGTCCCAACCTGCTCCTGGAGGGCCATTGTACTGCAGAGTTTAGCTCCAACCCTAATTAAATACACCTGAACCAGCTAATCGAGGTCTTCAGACTAATTAGAATCTTCCAGGCAGGTGTGCTGGAGCTAAACTTTGCAGGTCATTGGCCCTCCAGAAGCAGGATTGAACAAACCTGCTCTTGTTAAATGACAAATGTCTGAGTTTCGAAAGATGTACCAAGGACTACATAATTGTTTTGTCTTTTCTAGTTGTACAATGAAGTGAGGGTCCGCCGTATGGGAAGTTCTCTGAGACCAATTACTGATGGACAAAATGCGCTAAGGCTCAGCTCATGTTCTGCCAGCACTTTGTCGAGTGCAGTAACCTATACCTCAGATGCCCAGAGCAATGAATATTCTGAAGCTTTAACCCAGCAAAGCAATGCCAGCATCGACTCCCAACCAAGTCAACTCAGTCACGCCAGTGAATCCAGCGACCAGTGCAACAGCGATCAAAGCGAACTATTAAATCAGCAAGGTGCTGATGAACAACAGGTCATAGACACTGCAGAGCTGGAAGAAATCCTGGAAAGCTGTTTGAAAAAGAAAATAGGGAACAAGTCATGCTTCATTGGACAAGATGACCTCCTTAACCCTTTCAAACGATTTCAGAGCATGGAAATATGTTGTGGAAGTGACAAAAAGAAGAACAATACTGCCCTTAATGCGGTGAGACTTTGTTGTTCATACCACTCTAACGGTGGTACAAATACTAGGTCATCTTTCAGGATTTACTATTTTACTCTTGCTATACATTTTTGCCAAACCTCCTGAACTATTCCTAGGGAGCTGTAAATCCACAGTACATTTACTTACAATCCATTATATTCCAGGTTAGGATGCTGCTATGTGGGGCTAGAGATGTGCTTTATTATATTGTTTGGTCTGAGGTCTAAGGTTTGCGTCTAAGTCCTCTTATTCATCAACATCTTGTAGGCACTTAAGGAAATTGCTCGTGTGAGTGAAGAACTCTGTAGCTACCAGGATGAAACAAAGAAGTGGCCTGATATTAAGAGGTAAACATTGCTGCAAACAGTTGCTGCATGCATCACAAATAAATCAGATTAGTGCTTTATAATGACCTCACTTTGTTTGGTATTCCTTCTTAGAAGCCGCAGTGAGTCAACGTTTTTTCTAAGAGAGGGTGAGTTGGTGGAGAGGCTAAAGGACAATTTGGAAATGGAAGACACAGTTTTGTACTTGAAAAACATGAGTGAAGACCTTAAATCCCTCGATGAGCAATACTGGACGAATTGGGAAGGTTGTAACATGGAATCGCAGCAAAGTGAGGCTAAGCCACAATACAACATAAGACAACAAGCCCCACCAATACCGGCCCGTAGTACATCTTGGTACCTAAGCAGTCCTTCCGTTTCAGAAATGGAGTCCAGTGGTACAGAGCAAGGGTGTGAACGGCCAGGAACCCACCCAGACAGAAAGTACACCAGCCCCGCAATTGTACGAAAATTTGAAGCAATGCTTCAAGAAAATGAGGGGAAAATTCTGAAAGACTATGGGAATGTAGCCTGCACCGTGCCTGTTGATTCCAAGTGCAATATCAGCTGCTGCCAGAGCCGCTGGTCCTGCGATGGAAGTAGATTTGGCAGCAACAAGTCATCCAGATATGTACCTGTTAAGAGATGTCTCTCAAACGTGGACATTGCAGCTTCAGCCTCAGATCGCAGTCTAAACCAAATAGATGAACAAAACAAGGGTTCATATCATCCCATGAACATGCCTACAGATTCTGTTGCATCGCCAGACTTTATTTCACCATATCCCAGTGCTATAGCTACTCCCAGAAATGAGAGACTTGATCAGAAAACTGCAGAGTTCAACCGTACGCTCTTCCAGGCAGGGATGGGCGTTCTGTGTGATGAGGATATTTCCATGAATGTATCCACTGATTGTTTTCACAGTCTACCAGAGGTCATATCAAAGGACACGTTTATAGACAGTCCTTCGAGGCACGTTGAAGACAATCCGAAGGATTTGCTCTCGGATCTTGTGGCACAGTGCCCAAAAGAGGAGGGAAGAAAGAAGGAAACGAAGGACCTTGTCACTAAGTCTTCATCTCTGCAGCAGGAACTTAGTCTAAAGCAAGACAGTGAAGTTAAGCCTTTATCGGCTTCACCAATTTCAGTTGACCAGCTTGTCCCAAGTGTTGGAGAAAAACGCTTTGAACTGAGTGTAAGTCCACCAAAACTGCAAACCCAGTTGGAAAGGTCCAGCAAAGTTCTGGACGTTGGTACAGACCAACAGCAAGCAGACAAAAAACCCAAACAGACAAAAAGGGACACGTGTTGCACCAGGTCTCGGATTCTAGATGAAAATCCATGGAAGCCCTCTACGCTAGCAGCCTATCCTCGTCCGATGGAGTCTAGGTCCAACTATGGAGCTGTTGAGAGGATTCTCAAAAATTACGAGGATCTGGAGAGATCTCAGGAGCAGCATCAGCAGTCACAGCCCAGTCCAAGGAAGAAGGAAGACCTCGTGGACCTCTTGGAAATGTTGGATATGCAACATGAGCCCAGATCCAGTCAGAGACTAACACACACACCGCACCACCAGGCCATAGCCCACAAAGAGACACATGTAACAGTGCAGGTCAGTACTGCCCACAATCCCCAACATAGACCCACGCCATTCAAGCCACAAAAGCACACACTTTCACCCAAACTGCAAACATTCAAGTACATGCTAAATGACTCAGCCGGAGAAGTGTATGAGGTGCAAGTGTAGATGACTGCGGTGTATTAAAGGGATAGTTCACCCAAACATGAAAACTCTGTCATCATTTACACATCCTCAAACCTGTATGAATTTCTTTCTTCTGTTGAACACAAAAGAATGCTTTTGAAGAATGCTGGTAACCAAACATTTGACGGTAGCCATTGACTTCCGTAGTATTTTCTTTCATACTATGGAAGTCAGTGGCTACCGTCCAGTAGAGGGTGAGTAAATGACGACAGATTTAAATTTTTGGGTGAACTATCACTTTAAAGCCCAAAGTAGCTAGGCCTATACTTCGTTTTTGTACATGTGCAAAACTCCATTTGATGTTGTGCACTGTTCGCTTTCCCTCGTGTACACGTAAAAAGTGAAGTATACTTTGGTCTTAAGTAGCATTTTATTCCATACAAAAGGTCACTTTGTTTCCAATGCGTTTGCTAAAATGTCCGAGAGCCTGTGTTGTATTGTGAATATACACATGGTTAAAGAGTGCTGGAGCACCTGCAAACTTCTTCAGCTGTGACATACAGGTAAAAATTGTTGCTGTATAATAAAAATATTAAGAACACTAATTTTCATTAAAACATTTTATTTTAGTCATAAATTAATAGGTTAATAGGTTGTCTCTATAAGTGCTCTTACACACAGTAACTGGTTAATGTGTGTGAAGAGATTTTTCTCAGTGCTAAATAACAGTAACATTAGACATTGCTTAGAAAGATTATAAAAAATTCTTTTTAATCTACAACTGAAAGTTTTTTTTTTTCTCAAGTCTGGAAATATTTAGAATTTATTGTTAAAATACCTCGTTCCCACAAAACCATCTAAGCAACACAATTAAAATTCCTTAAGTTGAATTTCTGTCAGAAAATATTGGCAGATTGCTCAAAGCGAGGAGCCCAGAAGCTTCTTATTGTTGGATTGAGGCTTGAGATGAAAAGAATTAGTGGCACCAAAGTTTAATTTGCATCTTTCATGTCTAGCTCTTTAGAAAACCTCAATTAACTGTTTTTTTTTTTTTATAGGAGGCTAAGGTATGTGGTGTAATTACAGAAACATGTAGCGTGGCCAGGAGTCTAGTGAAACTAGTCCTCTGCACGGACTGCCTGCTTTGTAAATTACACAACAAAATGACTCGAAATGATTGTCAGATGAGTCAGAAAAGCATTAGAGATTTCATCAGTTCTTTTATTTTCACTTAGTTCTAAAATGGAGAACATGTGCAGGAGACAAAAGTTCAGCCATTGCCTTAAATGCAATGGCATTGAAAAAAAAAAATACAAGAAACTATATATATATATTTTTTTTGGATTATGATTTTTTCCATGACAATTAGGCACCCCTCCCCTCCCCCCCTTTATATGATATAAACATCGTGACAGATCTTGTGAGATTCATTCACACGCTCTGCGATGGATGCTTACATGAAAGCACACCGAGCTAATGTAGGTTATTTTGCTGTTGACAGGAATATTTAAATCCAGTGAGATTTCATAAAAATATTTGTCTCAACAGCAATGCAAAGAGTCCTCTGTAACTATCAAGAAGAGCTTTTCACGACCTGCGTGTCCGGCAAAGAGACGTTTGCCCTCTCGTTGGGCTAGCCGCTTGTCTGTCTCGTCTGCATCAACTCCCTCACCGCCACCAACAACAACACCACCCACAGTCTTCACCCAGAGACAAAAACTCACCTACTCCACCTTTCACACAGAGACCATCATCTAAACGGCCGTTAGATTATGTCCAAAGCCTTTAAAGCCGTACATGTTGCCTGATTACCTGTGTAAATACCAACAATGACTGTCCAGTTTTGTTGTTTACATTTCTATAACCATGAAATCAAACTGCCTTTTCATTCTTTTTTTCTCAAAAACATGTACATTTCATTTCTACCAATGTGACTTCTTGTTTTCTGTTTTCTTAAACCAGTATTAATCTGTCGTCATATTTTATAGCTGTGAATGTAGACCTGTTTTCTGTCAGTGCTTCATATGTGGCCTCGTTTGTGTGTGAGGTCTGATGTCTGATTGAGAATATCTTTTTACCAACTTTACCAAAACCACTGACTTGTGTTATTACAGAAACTAACGGATCCTACGCTCCGTTTACCTGCTTATCTGATCTGAGACATATCATTTAGACAATGCCTTCGCAGTCCTTTTTCTTGATAATTAATATCACAAATGAAACTGTATTCAGCATTTATAAAATAAAATATTGACACTCATTCCTAGATGTAGATGTGTTTTATTCATAATCTATTTGGTCTTCTCTTTTCAAAACTGGTGTTTTGGATGTGGTGTTTTTTTTTTTTTTTTTTTTGCATTTAATTAAATTACTTTAATTGGACTTTAACTCGCAATTCTGAGAAAAAGTCACAATTCTGACTTTTTTTTCTCAGAATTGCATGATATAAAGTCACAGTTGCGAGATATAAAGTCACAATTGCGAGATAAAGTCACAATTGTGAGATAAAGTCACAATTGCGAGATATAAAGTCACAATTGCGAGATATAAAGTCACAATTGATATAGTCACAATTGCGAGATATAAAGTCACAATTGATATAGTCACAATTGCGAGATATAAAGTCACAATTGATATAGTCACAATTGCGAGATATAAAGTCACAATTGATATAGTCACAATTGCGAGATATAAAGTCACAATTGCGAGATAAAGTCACAATTGCGAGATATAAAGTCACAATTGCGAGATAAAGTCACAATTGCGAGATATAAAGTCACAATTGCGAGATATA